CAGCATCCACCTATAGGCTCCGGCTGGGGGGTTTAAGGTAACACTCCCAATATATCATAAATAAATGTATTATAAATATTTCAAACCTTAGTTGTCGGACTGAAATATATTTATATATTGTGACAGGACTGTTATAATTCTCTCTCAGGCAGCGTTTAGAACCAGAAGTAGACTTACTTTACATCTTTAGCAGGCCTGTTGAGAAAGAGACGCTTTCTGAATTATTCTGTGAGTACATCGGATGTCAGGCCAATGACACATCCACCAGTATTGATGGAGAGGTCAGACAGGCAGCACTGACCTCATTTAGACTAATGGTTTGGAAGCAGAGCTCCTGAACATGATTTAGTTTGGTTCACCAGGCCTCTGGCGTAAAGAGTAACTTACTGTAGTATGCTTTTTAGACGGGAATCCTGTCTTCACATTCCAGAGATACCAAAGACCTCCTGCAGCCTGAATGAGCTTTGAAATGGATGCTACTGACCATGAAAGTGCTCAGACCATTGACACTACGGCAGGTAGATCAGGAGCTGAAATATAGGATGCAGGCCATATTTCTGCTCAGCAATAAACTAAAAAAAACAACCATTGACCATTGTCAATGACTTTTGAACTACCAACTCTCCAAACAAAAACCTTAAAATATGACCCACACAGGTTTCAGTAGGGCTGACTAATGAGTACTTTTCATTACTGACCAATTTCCTGATGTATTGCCACAAAGGGAAGCCCACATTTTCCAAATGACTCCAAAACCTGAGCCTGTCATCATGGCTGAAGGCTTGGTTTGTCCATCGTATGCCTCACACCGGTTGTGTGGTAATACTAAATGAATCCAAACTAAAGAACAAATAAGGTCCCTATCTGAGCTGTCCTACCTGTGATGTAATAAAAAAATAGTTTCTTAACTAAATGTTTAATTCAGGGTCTAAAGCTCAGTTTTGTTTGTTTGCTTTGCTCATTGTTCAGTCTTTATCCTCAAAGCCTCTTCTCTTGCGTAAGTGAAACATAATGTTTGACAATACAACTCAGCTGGAAGCATAAAATAAGTCAGCTTGAGTTTTCAACCAACTCGTGGAGCTAACGTTAAGCAGCTAGCTAGAGCCGATGGACTCTCCTACCGACAGTCATCAATTTCAGCGGACAAAGTAGTCGGCTGTTGTTGTAAAATGAGAAGCGGGCTTTGTTTACATCTGTGTAAAACGACGGTTTGTTTAAACTGGATATGTGCCGAGCGAGAACGGAAAGCTTGACAGCCATAGCAACAGTTACTAAGGGAGGGTGGTTGCCCGGCGACCTGTCGCATCCCTGCTGGGATTAAACTAAGTTCTTACAAGCAGGAAATGAAGCTGTGATGCAGCAGGTGATCTTAAGGCTGGGTAACCTAGGTGGAGGTGAGGCCATGGAGACATTTTGTTTGGTTCTCTGTCCCAAGGTAGAAAACTTGTTAGGTCATTGTCTCAGGTTCACCTTCAGGAAGTGAAATCACACATTTGAAAGCAAATAACACTGCACCACTCTTTCCTCCTCTGACAATGACAGGCAGTATAGAATTGCAGCATATTTTGTCTCATTTATATAAATACATTTGTGCAAATGGGAAAATGCTATCTGGGTCACAGAGTGATACCGTGGCTGTAGTAAAACGTTGGTGTGATGCATTTTATTTTATTTTTTATAGAGCCAGGACAGCAAATAATGAGATAAGTTATCTTTAGAAATCTCCAATTAAAGAACGTTTCCCACTGGAGTAATTATACCTCTTGGCATTACATGAACTCAATAGCAGTAATATTGCCTCGTGTTTCTCAGGTGTCTTTTATGTTAAAATGGTTTTGTAGACTGGGGTTACTGAAATGTGACTCTCCATACCACACCAGTGCTATTGTGTTATTAATTCTAAGGTTTTATGTAAAGGTAAAGATATCCTGTGACAGATTAGAGATAAGGATGTGGTTATACACAATATACAGTACGTTGATGTGAACTCATTAGCAGTAATATTGCCTCGTGTGTGCGAATTCTGGATTTACCGAAACTTAACTCTGGACCAGACCAATCCTGTTGTTTGGTTCCTTTAACAAATAGGTTAAAGGTCACAGAACAATAGCCTTTGGCAAAGACAGAGCTGATAAAGTGACAAGAAACCAGCTGTGTACAGAAAATATACAAAGGCTACTATTTTCTAACTAAATAGCAACTGATGTACAAACCTGTGATACTCACTATATGTTATTTCTGTCCTGCAATATCCCTCCTATATCTTATATAAGTTTTATAATCACATTTACAGTGTATGACCTATAGTATTAGTTTAGTACTTGACAAATGTAGATGGTATGACTACACTTATTTAATCATATAGAAGCCGTGGCACCTCTCCTCACTACAAATCATGAAGTTAATTTACCTAATTTACCTATTTACCTAAGTGACTAATTAAACAGCAATGCTGAAACAATTAATGTATAAATTGATCGTCAGATAATCCTTTCTTAACTATTAATGATTGTTAAATCATTTATGTAATTTTTAAGTAACACACTGCCAATAACTCTTCAGCTTCTCATCTGTGAGGATGTGCTGCATTTTCTTTGTCATAATATGATAGTAAACTGAAAACATTTGGGCCTCGGACACTTTATAGACTGAACATATATTTGATTCATTTTAGATAATAATCAGAAGAATAATTAAGGACAATAATAATCAGATTTGCTATATTTGCTTTGGAGAAAATGACAGTAACATAAGAGTATACCACTAGCACAGTATAAGCCTACACTGGAACAACAGAGGCTTTAACTCCTGCACAACTAATCTTTTAGGTATAAAGTTGTATAAGTTAACTGGACGAGCCTTTATTATTCATCATACTACCGCGTACTTTTCCTATTACACAGTATTGTAGAGAGTGGAAGAAACTGGGGGTGAGCAGGTTACCGCAGACTGCTCTTTCCTCTTCCTGAACACATGTAGATGTTACCGTGGTTACTTATTTTGGCCCTGAAGACAGAGTTAACAACCGTCGTCAGGACAGTTGACTTCCCACTTCTTTTTTTTTTTTTGCTAACGGTCACTCACCGTCTCTTAGATACCGTTGCCGGGCAGAGCGTTCTCGGATGGCGCGAGCCCACTTCTCTGCCTCCTCCAGGTTAGCGCGCGGGTCCTGAAGCGCCTCGAGACGGAAGCAGTGCTCCGCTCTCTGGCGCGAGCCCCCGGAACTGACCCAGCGCCGTCGGAGCGGGTACAGGTAGACCGCGAGGTACGCTGCCGGGTCCGCGACGTCCTCTGCTCGGTAAGACCGGCAGCCGACGCAGTCCTTCAGGCTGAGCACCAGCTTGTTCCGCCCGACAGGTGTTGAGGTGAGCCTCTGGACGATGAGCTCCCTCTCGCTCAAGCTCACGGCGTACCGGACTTTTCGGTTACCGGTGACAGTGAATTCCCCGTAAAGTGAAACCGGGTTGGTGATGGAGTTGCGGTCCGGTTCTGCTCTCCTCTGATCCATCCTGAGCGGACGGGCCAGACCGGGACGCGGAGGGGGTCCGGGATAAAGCACCAGCCACGGTCTCACATTGCAACCCGCCTGGATGGTGAGAGCGAAGTGGAGACTAGGGGACCGCACTGACAGCCGGCTGGGACCGGTGTCAAGAGTTACGGAATCAAACGCACCATATCCGCTCACATTTCAAAATAAGAGCCTTAATGACGAGCTTGGTTTCGCACACAAGGTGTTGTTGTTGCTCAGGTCAACTCCTCAGCCCCTTTTCATAGACATTTTGTGGAGTTGTAGCAATGGCCGGAGTTTATAGTCTGAAATTAAATATAAACCATAGTGGATAATTACAGTACTTTTACACTCAGTCGCCTATATTCAAGTTTGACTAGGCAAACAATGAATAAATAAAGAGTTAAGAAGGTTTCTGAACAGCACTCAGAACGTAGGGGGGGGGGAGCTTGAGGAGTATACAAATTAAATTCATTTTAATTTAATTTAATAATTAACCGATGACTTAAAAACTATTAAAAATCATTATGTGAGTTTCCGGCGGTCTGTATCAAACAAACACGTTTTCTTAAATATGGAGAACAAGATTGGTAGGCCAGGACATCTCTGCAGAACTACAATACTTCATTATAATGCTGTTTTGTCATACATTTTACCATTATTAAAAAATAGCAGCTTCTTTGATTTACATATTACACTTGGCCATGAAGAACTGTGCAGCCCTCTTTAAGCAAAACCACAAAAAAATTATCACAAGAAAAGGTTATTTTAATTTAATATAAAATATACAACCAGTAACTTATTGCACATATATTGTCATAATCCACGTCCAACGTCAACTAAGCAGTTCATCGCTTTTATTTTTAAGGTTATAATTGCTACGTTTCTATGGTGGTTGTTGGTGTCTCCTGCTGACTTGACGCATCTCTACTTGTCTGCACCGCGTGTTGAACTTGTGTTCAGTGGTCCTGTCCGTCGAAAAGAGATGGTATGCTGCCACCTAGTGGTAAAGTGAAGGACACGCTCCATAGTCACCAGTGTGTAGTAGTAGTAGTACAGTACGAGTACAATATTAATAACATAAGACTCAGAAAACTGACCGAGGAGATGCTTTGTAACTATTATTTATATGTGGATGAAGAGCGATGTGGGGCTGCAGTGGTCTTACTGATAACGTTAACAATGGCTCTGCTCTATTCAAGGGTCCCAGTATCAATAACAGTGTGACAGTGAGTCAGCATGCACAATATCAGGACCCTGAAACTGAAGCTAAAATAATTCAGCTTTCGTTCAATTTATTATTTTCACCTGAGTTATCATCATCAAATTGTCTTCTATGAAAAAGGAAAATATTAATTGACCTTAACTTTGTACTATAGTTGAATCCATCCATACTTGAACTGTTGTAATATCATGTTTGCTTAATAAACAAATGTACGTAACTACTGTTGATGTTAAATTAGATTTAATTTTCTCTTTGAACACAAAAAAACATTATAAGTAAAATATATATTTCTGGAGCAGTTGTCCTTCAGTCCACTTGCCACTTTGCTTTTTTTTTTCCTGTTTTGAAATCAGCCTTTTAACATTTTGCCGCTAGTCTTTTAGCTGTATTGTCATCAAAGAGAGTAGAAAGAAAGAAAGAAAAGAGAGTAGTTTATCTGCCCTTCAATTGTGTATTTTCCCCTGCAGGATTGTAATATATTATTAAAATACTGGAATTAGAGCAAAATGTGATCAAACACTGCAGCAACGAATGACCTCAGATGATTAGAAGTGTGTCTCTCTGAATTTAATTAAGTTCCACACATGCATACCAATGTGCTTTAATTAGTG